GATTGTGACATTTTCGCAATGAAGTACATCGAATTTTTGAGTATATGACATAAAGTTGATGGTTTGACATGAAGATCTTGGCAAGATCATAAAGTTTAAGTTTTAATAAAGTTTCAACAAAATTCACTGGCAAGGTATCAATCTTTTCATCTTTCTAATTATTTTACCTATGGTGATATTTGGTTTACAAAATTATTTTATCCTTGAGAGAGTTGAATCTGCATTTCTTTGGTCACTTGACACTGTTTCTATTACACATATGGCTTTGAAACCTACTGGAATGAAAGCAGAAAAATTGTTTGGTCCTTCAAGCATGCAATAGAAATAAGGAAATTATATTATAGCTGCATAAAGTTTTAACGAAAAATTGAATCCCACTAATATGTGAAGAGGCGTGTTGAAGACAAGATTTAATAAAGTCCTAACTCATGCATGTAATTGACACGTTTTGGTTTGTTTCTCCACATTTGGAAAAATAGGCACATATAACCCTAGTATATATCTAAATACTAAATACTGATTCTGGCCAAAATATTTTAAGTAGAAAGACAAAATTACCTTTAAACTCGCTTAAGCAAAATGAATAAATAAATATACTGTGCCTTAATCAACATTAAGATAAATTTGGGTAGTTAGAGAACATCCCTGCATCGACCAATTACTAAATTTAAAAGGAAAAAATCCATCTCCACATGAAATTTGGATATGAATATGTATTCATGATTCCATTTTGTAACTTACTGCATTGTTGACTAATTTGAGAATACACTAACATATCGAGCATGACTGGTTACAATGAGGAAAGTTAATATCTTGAATTTCTTACAAAGGGATAGCAATGGTCATTTTAATTCTCAATGCAGATTCTTTAATTTGAAACTGGCGAAAACGAATAGCCAAATCTTGATTTAAAAGATGTTGGCGTTGAATCAGATGGCAAAACTGGAAGATAGATTCTTCTTCCCAAATCTTGATTTAAAAGATGTTGGCACTTTCTACAATCCATTATCCTCCTCTCCTCGTACTTGTTTCTGCTCAGTGCAATGCTGCACCCACTCAAGGAATCACTTCAAGAGGCTGCTTAAGCAGAATCAAAGAATAACACAAAGACAATGGCTATTTTCCTCTTCATTCTCTGTATCCCATGTTTCACTGAGGAAAACAAATTTGGCATTTTGAGACATAATTCCCCTATTCCTATAGCATGTAGCTTCAAAGAAACAACAGTGTAAAGTGACCAGAAAATGTTGATTCAACTATCTCAAGGACTAAAAATGACTCTCTATCTCTGGTTCATATAGGGAGGGATAGTTAGCATAAAATGTCGTTAAAGCTTAGTGCATTAACAAATAGACTACAAGTTTTTCATAATTTCTTAACACTTAATACCCTCATTGGCCTGCACATAATAATAATTTAAGATGATTTAGTACCTATCTAATCTAGACTGTTGAAAGATATTCAAGTGTATCCAACAATCACCAAACAACCATTTGTATCTCATGTTTTATGTTAATTACAATATAAGATATCTTATTTTGTTTCTGATGTCTTAATTTCTTAATTTTTTCTATAACTCTAGCCATGGCAAATAGTTATGCTAGAAGACGTTCAAAGACCACATGTGAGCTGTAGAAATAAACAATTTAGTAGTCATGAAATTTAATTAGTATTATCAACTCCAACGTGGGAGTGTTTCATGATGTTTAAAGCAATGAAAAACAATCGAAAAATGTATTAGATTCGAAACGTAATGTAGTCAGCATGTCCTGTTTTGGGTGATGAATTAGATTTGAAACGTAATGTAGTCAGCATGTTCTGTTTTGGGTGATCTTTCAACTCAAAAATGTATTGATCTATAGATCTGTAAATAACATCAATACAAATTTCACGCCTCTAGTCCGTTTCTCTGTGTGAAATTTGAATTCAGCTCTCTGAAGTTCTACAAAACTCTGTAATTCTCCTAGTATATTCTAGCGATGGTGTGTTCTCAAGTCTTACATCACTTGGTGGACTCCTAGGGTAGTGACCTTTTTTAACTAGCAGCTAAAAGAAGTTATTTGACTTCCTTGACCAACTATGCTTTTTTCTAGTGTCAATTAGTACCAAAGGTTGTGGCTGGAAGATGTCGCTGGGGACCTAATGTTGAAGAGTAACCTGATCGAGAAAGAAACCTCAGAGACGTGGCAATTGATGAAGGGAAAACTCCAAATATATACGAATCAAGTCCTAAAATTGTAACATGAACAAAGATAATGACATTCAGTGAACGAATAGTCCAGCGGTGAGCATGAGGATCATAATCCTTTCTATCGCTCCTCAAACTTGGAAGTTGCTGTAGAATCTCTTCCTTCTGATTGGGCTCACAAAAACTATAGTTTAAACATTGACAAAATGCTGAAATTCCAAACTGTTAGGATCGGGTTTCAACCATCTCATCCGAAAACCAATTGGTGACAAATGAGGGTAAGCTAAACTTTTTATGGCATCCAATCACCATCATTTGAGTGAACCAACTCCTGGGCTTAAGAACGCCTTGTTGCACCGCAACAATCCCTCCCTTAACATGACTCTCTTATGACTCGAACTCCTTACCCTGGCTCCACTCTGTTAGGATTGGGTTTCAACCATCTCTTCTGATCCTAACACAGATACTAACAGGGACTTTGAACGAAAGGTGTAAACTGATCTTTATAGTGGAAATATACCGTTGATGGGAATTGGTTGCAAGGAAGTGCCAGATGATCGTAAAAAGTTAAGTTTTCCATTACTAATTGAGAAGATATGTTAGTCTACGGCGGAGAGACTCAAGAAACAGAGAGCTCATGAGGAAGAAATCCACTCCAGTCTTGGGAAAAGACGGGGAAAATCAGGAGAAGAAACTTATGGTCAAGACACTTTTTCTAAGATTCACACTATTAACCAAAGAGAGCTCTCAGTGGAAGAATTTGCAGCAGAGTTTTATCATCTTATAATTAACTACGGCTTTGAAGAACCCAAAGAGCATACGACACAGCACTGTCTTGGCGGTTTAAAGCCTGAAAGACGGAGCGTTGTGCAACTTCAACATCAGTGATGTTTAATTGAAGAGTATAAAGTTACTATGAAGGTAGAAAGACAGCAAAAAGAAGTGTTAGGTATTTGATGTAATGAGCAAATCTGTGAACAAAAGGGACTAAAATTAACATGTCGTAAAAGTCAAGGAGTTATGTGCAA